AAAAACTGTATTTTAATTACAGATAGTTACTGTATTCTTACTTGTAAGTTGACTGTATTGAATTTTTTCTGTGTGTAAAAGTATTTGTGTGTGTATGAGAGAGAGAAACAAAAATATGAAAACATGGCAAGAAGGTAAATGCATCAATAAAACGGCGTGTTGCCAACTTTCCGCTCATCCTTCATAACAGTTTACTCGCCACGTTGTAGGTACTGGCACTTCACACCTATACACTGTCACAGGAACAGTAAACACACACAGAAGCAGAGGAGAGACGAGCGAAAGCTCCGGGGAACATTAAAGACGTCTTCTTCTTATTCTCTAGAAAATAGTTCCTGTCACACTCTGCCAGAGTCTGCAGCCATTAATCTGAAGTGTTTATACAGAACGCACTCGAGGGCCGAACACCAGCAATAAGTTGCAGTTCATAAAGGAATTTCCATCACAAACCACCAACGTTAAACAGATATTAAAAACTAACCAGGAGTTCGATCTGCAGGCTAATAATCGACTAATTCTTCATTAAAACATGGCAGAAAATGCAGTTTTCAGCCTCTCAAATATGGAGATTTCTGTTTTATGTCATATTGTCGAGTATATTTGGGTTTTAAACTGACAAAACGAGATGAACAATTAATCGATTAATCTATAAAATCTAGTTGCACGACTGACTTTGAGCAAAAACAACAAACAAAACTGCAAAATTAAAAGTAATTTTTCCGTTTTCAACCTCTAAAATATGGAGATTTACGGCTTTTCTCTGTTATTAAACAGAATATCTTTGAGCTGACGTCTAAAGACATTTTATAGACTAATGATTAATCGATTAATCTAAATAATTGTCATTAATCGGCAGTAGTTGCAGCCCTAATTAAAACTCTAAACTGAATATAAAAATATCCATTTTGAGGACATTTTGATAATAATTTAAGTATTTATTCATGCAAAAATGGTGTTATTGTAAAGGAATATCTCACACTAACAATGCACGGATAAAAATGTCTAAATCTTTCTGGGTTTCTGCAATATGACCACTGACTTTGAGCATAAAGAACAAAGTTCAGAGAATAATCCCGAGAGAGACACAATCCTACCGTTCTCAGAGGCCAGTCGAAGCAGTTTCCCATACCAAAAGAGAAAAGCGGCACTAAAAAGGACCATGAGGACTTTTTCTCCTTTAAGTTTGCAGTTTGGACTTCGAGAGGAGCGCAAACTCTGGTTTCAGCAAGACCCATGAAGACCGGGGACGCTTAAAACCTTCAGCTGGTGGAAACAAAAACAGTGCACGGTGCTCTGACGTGAATGTAAGTAAATGAAAGCAGCTGCAGCGACACTCAGAAAGAGGCTGAGACACTGAATGAGGAAGAGAGAGAGGGACGACAGCCAAGGAGGGAAAACAGAATTATGCCTATTAAAGGAAAAGAGGGTCGATCTGCTGTCTGAGAGATATTTCATGAGACTGTCACACTGACCAAACTGTTATTCTGTGAACATCACGGACAGTTGGGCTCATTCACAGGCACCAAACACCAGAATAAACATAAGAATAAACATAAGAATAAACATAAGAATAAACACCAGAATAAACGAGAATAAACGAGAGAATGAAGAATAAACACAAACATAAACATGAATAAACAAGATAATAAACACGAGAATGAATGAGAAAATAAACAAGAGAATAAAGAAGAAAATAAACAAGAGTAAACACAAGAATAAATGGGATAAAATCTGTAAGTTTACGGGGTTTACGCGTTTATTTTACAGTTCTTTTTCTGTATTTTTTAAAATACATGAAAATATTCATAAAATTAAAGAAATTGCCTGTAAAATTATAAGTCTAATGTAAGATAACGTGAAAAATCTGTAAATCATAAAATATCTGCTTATGCAAAGAAAAATTCACATATAAAGATTCAAAAAAAGATTTGTTAACTGTTAAATTCAAGTTTAAGTTTTATAAAATTATGTATCAATCAATCAATCATTAAAGGTAAAATAAGTATTTGTTGTTCAATTTTTCATGTATTTGGTTGTTAATTGACAGATAGCCTATCTTGTATAATTATAGAAGTTT